ATCTGCCCAAAGGCATTTAGATTCTTCATAGATTTTTACAGTTTGATGGATAAGAATATCCTGAATGTTTAGGTTTTCTGGAGCCCACATGCAAGAGTTTCTCTAGTATATATATCCTGAAGTGGAATTATAATGTTAATTGCACCAATCTGTCCCCTCATCAGTATTCCTGTCTCCACAGACTTGCACTGTCCTCCCACCTCCCTGCAGCATCCCTAATCTTGTTATCTCTGCCGGTGACTCCGGACAGCTCTCACCTTTCCCAGCTAGAGTCCATACCCATTTTAAAGCCCCAATGAACTTGCTGAGGTGTTTCTATGTACTCTGCATTGAGCACAAGGGAGATAGGAAATGCTAGTTTAGGGATTGACCAGGGGACATGAGGTCTTTCTATGTGTCTGTCAGAATCACTGGACCCTCTTAGAGAATGAAGGCCAGCCTGTAGATTTGTTCTGCTCCAACCCAAAGTGTGCTGAAGCTTTGTCCCCCAGGGTGACTGAAAATGCCTAATTAATTTTTCTTCCTGTCAGCCCCCACTCCCACCTATCCTGTGTCTCAGGTGAACACCATTTGCCTCCCTCTACTCTCTGTCCATGTTTCTCCACGTGTGGTCCACAGGGCAGAATGCATTGGTTACATCATGGAATTCACCTGCGTTAGAATCTGACGGGGCACATTCTCAGACCCCTCCCCAGATTGACTCTGACTCTCTAAGGGGTTGCTTGGGAATCTTCTGTTTAATAAGTTCCCAGGTGACATGCACATTGAGATTTGAGAGGTGCTGCTCTGCATACTGCTATCAAGGAGTCAGGCCAAGATCATCTCCAAGAAGGTTCAGCTTCCCTTCCAACAGCTGAGCCTCATCTTCCCTTTACCCTTCTGTTACTTCTACTGCCTTGAAGGACAGCAGGGATAAGGAAACCCCTCAGATTATAGCATAGATAGATATATGATGTGCAATCCAGCATTGTTTACAGAAAGAGAAGCTGAATACAGCTGCCTGGCAATAGAGGTCTGGTAAGCTATGTAAATGATACAATTTTCCAATGGAATACTACACAATTATTGAGTAACTTTCTGTCTTTATTATTGGATACCAACTTTTACTGAATCTTTTTTTTTTTTTTGTGCACTGTTCCTGGAGGTACTGCAATACCAGGTCAATGAATGGAGTGGATGGAGCAAGCTCCTATTCCATCCCCCTGTTACAAAAATCCATTTAATATATTGTCCTTGGATAGAGGACGTATTAGATATTAAACTGATAAGAACAGATACTACACTTGATCTTAGCCAAAAGGCCAAGAAGTAATGAATCTTTTTCAAAAATCATTTTTAAAGCTGAGCCCTGGTGGCTCACACCTGTAATCCTAGCTACTCAGCAGGCAGAGATCAGGAGGATACGAGGTTCATAGCCAGCCCAGGCAAATAATTCTCGAGACCCTATCTCGAAAAACCCCATCCCAAAAAAAGGCTGGTGGAGTGGCTCAAGGGTAGGCCCTGAGTTTAAACCCAAATACTGCAAAAAAATTTTTTTAATCATTTTTAAAGCATGGTAAGTTGGGTGTGGTGGCACATGACACTAATCTTAGCACTTGGGAAGCTGGGGCAGGAGGGTCCTGAGTTCAAGACCAGTCTGGGCTACATGCTGAGACTCTGTCTCAAAAAAAAAAAAAAGAGTTAAAATTCAGTTTCTAGTATTGGTTGAGTTTTCTCCATAAGTGTATACTATATTTTTATTTTTGTGGGTGCTGGGGGATCGAACCTCATGTATGCCTAGGCGAGTCCTCTACTGTTTAGCTATACCCCAATCCTTATTATATTTATAATCAGAAAAACATAATGAAGTTATTTTCATTGGGAAATAAAACACAAAATGCCCAACATTCAGAAGTCTTAAAGAAAAGTCCAGGACCTGATGGATTCTCTGCTGAATTCTATCAGACCTTTAAAGAAAAACTGATACCAACCCTCCTTAAACTGTTCCACGAAATAGAAAGCGAAGGAAAACTGCCAAACACATTTTATGAAGCCAGTATTACACTTATCCCAAAACCAGGCAAAGACACCTCCAAAAAGGAGAACTATAGGCCAATCTCCTTAATGAACATTGATGCAAAAATCCTCAACAAAATAATGGCAAACCGAATTCAACAACACATCAAAAAGATTATTCACCACGACCAAGTAGGCTTCATCCCAGGGATGCAGGGGTGGTTCAACATACGAAAATCAATAAACGTAATAAACCACATTAACAGAAGCAAAGACAAAAACCACTTGATCATCTCAATAGATGCAGAAAAAGCCTTTGATAAGATCCAACACCATTTCATGATAAAAGCTCTAAGAAAACTAGGAATAGAAGGAAAGTACCTCAACATTATAAAAGCTATATATGACAAACCTACAGCCAGCATTATACTTAACGGAGAAAAACTGAAACCATTCCCTCTAAAATCAGGAACCAGACAAGGATGCCCACTATCTCCACTCCTATTCAACATAGTACTGGAATTCCTAGCCAGAGCAATTAGGCAAGAAGAAGGAATAAAAGGAATACAAATAGGTAAAGAAACTGTCAAAATATCCCTATTTGCAGATGACATGATCCTATACCTTAAAGACCCAAAAAACTCTACTCAGAAGCTTCTAGACATCATCAATAGCTATAGCAAGGTAGCAGGATATAAAATCAACATAGAAAAATCATTAGCATTTCTATACACTAACAATGAGCAAACTGAAAAAGAATGTATGAAAACAATTCCATTTACAATAGCCTCAAAAAAAATCAAATACCTAGGTGTAAACCTAACAAAAGATGTGAAAGACCTCTACAAGGAAAACTATACACTTCTGAAGAAAGAGATTGAGGAAGACTATAGAAAGTGGAGAGATCTCCCATGCTCATGGATTGGTAGAATCAACATAGTAAAAATGTCGATACTCCCAAAAGTAATCTACATGTTTAATGCAATTCCCATCAAAATTCCAATGACATTCATTAAAGAGATTGAAAAATCTACTGTTAAATTTATATGGAAACACAAGAGGCCACGAAAGCCAAGGCAATACTCAGTCAAAAGAACAATGCAGGAGGTATCACAATACCTGACTTCAAACTATACAAAGCAATATACAATAAAAACAGCATGGTACTGGCACAAAAACAGACATGAAGACCAGTGGAACAGAATAGAGGACCCAGATATGAAGCCACACAACTATAACAACTTGTCTTTGACAAAGGAGCTAAAAATATACGATGGAGAAATAGCAGCCTCTTCAACAAAAACTGCTGGGAAAACTGGTTAGCAGTCTGCAAAAAACTGAAACTAGATCCATGTATATCACCCTATACCAAGATTAACTCAAAATGGATCAAGGATCTTAATATCAGACCCCAAACTCTAAAGTTGATACAGGAAAGAGTAGGAAATACTCTGGAGTTAGTAGGTATAGGTAAGAACTTTCTCAATGAAACCCCAGCACAGCAACTAAGAGATAGCATAGATAAATGGGACTCATAAAACTAAAAAGCTTCTGTTCATCAAAAGAAATGGTCTCTAAACTGAAGAGAACACCCACAGAGTGGGAGAAAATATTTGCCAGCTATACATCAGACAAAGGACTGATAACCAGAATATATAGGGAACTTAAAAAACTAAATTCTCCCAAAACTAATGAACCAATAAAGAAATGGGCAAGTGAACTAAACAGAACTTTCTCAAAAGAAGAAATTCAAATGGCCAAAACACATGAAAAAATGCTCACCATCTCTAGCAATAAAGGAAATGCAAATTAAAACCACACTAAGATTCCACCTCACCCCTGTTAGAATAGCCATCATCAGCAACACCACCAACAACAGGTGTTGGCGAGGATGCGGGGAAAAAGGAACCCTCTTACACTGTTGGTGGGAATGTAACTAGTACAACCACTCTGGAAAAAAATTTGGAGGCTACTTAAAAAGCTAGACATTGATCTACCATTTGATCCAGCAATACCACTCTTGGGGATATACCCAAAAGACTGTGACACAGGTTACTCCAGAGGCACCTGCACACCCATGTTTATTGCGGCACTATTCACAATAGCCAAGTTATGGAAACAGCCAAGATGCCCCACACTGACGAATGGATTAAGAAAATGTGGTATCTATACACAATGGAATTTTATGCAGCCATGAAGAAGAACGAAATGTTATCATTCGCTGGTAAATGGATGGAATTGGAGAACATCATTCTGAGTGAGGTTAGCCTGGCCCAAAAGACCAAAAATCGTATGTTCTCCCTCATATGTGGACATTAGATCAAGGGCAAACACAACAAGGGGATTGGACTTGAGCACATGATAAAAGCGAGAGCACACAAGGGAGGGTGAGGATAGGTAAGACATCTAAAAAATTAGCTAGCATTTGTTGCCCTTAACGCAGAGAAACTAAAGCAGATACCTTAAAGCAACTGAGGCCAATAGGAAAAGGGGACCAGGAACTAGAGAAAAGGTTAGATCAAAAAGAATTAACCTAGAAGGTAACACACACAGAGGAAATTAATGTGAGTCAACTCCCTGTATAGCTATCCTTATTTCAACCAGCAAAACCCTTGTTCCTTCCTATTATTGCTTATACTCTCTCTACAACAAAATTAGAAATAAGGTCAAAATAGTTTCTGCTGGGTATTGAGGGGGTAGGGGGGAGAGGGAGGGGATGGAGGTGATGACCCATGCCTTGTTGTAAAAAAAAAAAAAAAGGTAAAACTCTCCACAAACAGCAAGAAGAACAAAAAAAACCCCTAAAAGTTCCCTAGCAGGTCCCGCTTATACTACGGTGCACGGGACTCCCTTGCTACCATACCCCCGCCTTCTAGTCAAAAGCAGCTGCAAACTCCTAGCATCGCGACAATTTCTCCTTTATTCAAACTAGGCTTCAGATCTCGCGAGAGTGTCTTGTCCAATCACGAGGCCAGATGGGCTCACAAGATGGCCGCGCGCTGGGAGCGTAACATCTGCGTTTCTGGGAGCTTCGTGCTGTGGGTGGATTAAAATTCAGGGTTTGTACAGGCCCACGCCACGCACGTAGTCAGGCAAGAATATCGGCTTCAGAGGTGGGTCACTTAACTTCTCTTTATACGGGTTGAGATCATGGGTCACTTAACCCATGGCATCACCGTCCTCCTTGTTCTCGGATTTTGGACTTGTGCGGTGCAGAGTTCGGGGTCTAGAGAGGGATTGATACGGCGGGGGTGTTAGGGGTGGGGAGGTGGGAGGAGTTGGCGAGTAGTACAGAGACTATGTTTGAAGGGGAGACCCCGAGAAGGGGGTTGTCTGATGTTTAGACACTGAAGCGCGAAGACCCAGTGGGTAAAGATAAGGCGTGAAAGGAGCGAAAGAGCAGGACAACAGGTAGTGGCGGGACTAAAGGAAAAAATAAAAATTTATGAGGGAAGACGAAGAGAAAACGGAGGTCGTTGGGGTTTAGGTGGGAGGGATCTGTTGAAAAGGAATTCGACGTTCTAAAAGCAGAATGTAGGCTATTTTATTGGCTCATGTAGTAAGAGAAGTGGTAGTTGAAGAGGGTTAAGGGGCAAGAGGAACTAAGGAAGAGAAACATGGGGTAGAATTTTAATTTGTTTTCGAAACGAGGGGCTTGACCTCAGGGCCTCACGCTTGCCGGGTTTAGTAGGCAGGCTTTAGAAACATGGAAATGAGAAAGATCAAAGAAGGTTGACAGCCTCAAGCGTACTACTACTTTAGCTTTCTGAACTGACTCAGGTTACCCAGAAGAAAAAGTTCCAGTCCTTGGATTGAGGGTTTTTTTGTTTTTTTGTTTTTTCAACTCAAGATGGGGCCTGCCAACTGAGATTGAGAGTGCTATGTTTCAGTGGTTAAATCAGCGAATGGTTGAGTGCCTGCCTCAGGCCCTGTTTTAGGCATTGGGATGTCAGCAGTGAGAAAAACAAAATATTTTCCCTTTTGAAGATTACTGGTAACGCAGATTTAAAAAAAAAAAAAAACAGTAATAGACCCTAGCACCGAAAAAAAATATGGAGTGTCACATGTATAAGTTTTGCATAGAAGACAAGCTAGGAAGGGAAAAAGCACTTTAAATAGAGTGCTTAGGAAGGATGTTAATGAGAAGGGGACATGTGACCTAATGCTTGAACAAGGTGAGGGTACTTTCAGTATACACATTTCAGGGGGAAGAGCAGTTCATGCAGACTGAATTAGCAGCAAGTGCAAAAAAAAAAAGCCTTAAGACCATGAGTGTGACAAAGATGAAGAGACAGCAAGGAGGCCAACGTGGCTAGAGCAGAATGAATCAGGAATATTAGATTTGGTCAGAGAAAAGTGAAGTGATGATAGTAGTGCCAGGTAAGAATTGGCATCTAGTTTAACTTTGAGGAATGGGTATGTTTACAAAAGTGTTATGCCTGCATTAGGAGGTTGGTTAAACTGGATTGTATATAGAAGCTTATTAAGTAGAGTGTGTGCTTAGTATGTGTGAGATTCTGGTTTTAATACCTAATCCTTGCTCCCCCACTGTGAAAAAAGTTACTTAGTGAAGAAATGACTTATTGACTCTGCAACTGTTCTAACAAGAATAAGTAATGTAGGAAATGAATTAAAGTTGCCATATCTGTTACTTAATTTGTTTCACATAAATTCAGAATATCAAGTTGAGTGTATAGTTGTCAGCTATGAACTCAGGGCCTAGCACTTGCTAGGCAAGACACTCTAGCATGTGAGCCATGCTTCCTGCAGCTATGTTGCTGCCCAGAATTTCAAGAAAGGGAAACATTTTCCTTTTCATTGTTTTCTTGGAGATAGGGACTTGTCCTAGTTTTATGCTCCCATCTTTTCTGATGATCTTTAAAGGGAATGTTAAAGATAGGGAATTAAAACTGGTGTTTAAACCACACATGGTGGTGCATGTCTGTAATCCCACCACTTGGCTCTTGAGTTTGAGGCCACCTGGGCTACACCGTGAATTCCGTATCAGTTTGAAGTACATGAGACCCTGTCTCAAAACAAAACAAAACACCTGGTTTATAGTGCATTTCAGTGATAGTGTGAGGGGCAAAAGGTTGTAACTTACTGTTGAAAAACTTACGAGTGTCTCTCAGTGTTCATTTAATCAAAAAATATTGTATGCCAGTTGCTGGGGGTTCAGTGAATAATAAAATGTAGCTGAAATGAGCATATGTGAGACATGTATATAGTAATTACCTCCACAATAGCAACTGAAGAACTCTAGGAAAAGTACAGGGTGCTTTAAAAGCATAAAGAGTAGGGACTACCAATGTGGCTGAAGAGGCCCTGAGTTCAAACCTCAGTACTACAAATTAAAAAAGAAGGAAAGAAAGCATATAGAGTAGGCACTTGATTAATGTGTGAGTTAGAGAAAGCCTTTCTGAGAAAATGATGCTTAGGGGTGTGATTCAGAGCATTGATGGGCCTTCAGGAGCGAAAGGACTTCTACAGAAAGAGTAAGGAGAATCTTGCATGCAGTAGGAATATCAGATGGTGAGACAGACCACCTTGTAGCAGAGAAAATGAAAGCAGGTCAGGATGTCTGGAGTTCAATGCAGGAAGGGGAAAGTGTCGACAGAGGTAAGCAAAGCCTAGATTTTTGTATGCCTTGTTAGTGCATACGAGACTTTTTTGGTTTAATAGCTTTAGAAAGCTGCTGAAGGGATTTAGCAAGGGAATGCTCAGAATTACATTGAGAGGGGTGCAAGGGGGCTTGTCTGCCGAGTAAAAAATAAATTGCAAGAGACAGGAGTGGTAATGAGGCTCTTATTACTCTAAGAGGCTCTAATAGTAATCCAAAAAGGAAATGATTATGATCTGGGCCAGAGCCAGAGAGGTGGAGTCATGGGGGATGAAAAATTGGATAGGATCAAGAAGTAGAGATAGAGAATGTTCAGCACATGGTGTGTGTTTGGAACAGGAGGCAGAGCAGGGAAAGTGCTAAAGATTTCTGGTTTGTGTACCACCAGAAAGATAGTGGCTCCATTCAGTGAGATAAGGAATTTTATGAGAGATCCAATTTGGAGTTCAGAGAAATGATTTAATTTTGAACACAGTGTATACGAAGTACTTTTGAGCCATTCAAAAGAGAAGCATGACTCAGATGCTGTAATCCTAGCTACTTTGGAGGCTTAGATCAGGAAGATTGTGGTTTGAGGCCAGTTTAGGCAAATAGTTTGTGAGACCCCATCTCCAAAAATAGCCAGAGCAAATGGGCTGGAGGTATGGCTGAAGAGGTAGGTAGAGCGCCTGCTTGAAAAGGTCTGGAGTGAAGACAACAATTCTTTTTTTGGGGGTGGGAGTACTGGGGATTGAACCCAGGGCCTTGTGCATGCTAGGCGCTCAGGCACTCAACCACTGAACTACATCCCCAGTCTCAACAATTCTTTTTTGAAATTGGTTAATTCGGAGTATAGCAATCTGTCAAAACCTGAAATAGATTGTTAACAGATTTACTACTGTGTAAAATTACATCTCTATGGAAGCTTGTGAAGGAAAGGTGCTTGTTGCTAGGAAACTTTATAATGGGGAGGGGGCCTGGATGGGGTGGCAGGGAGGGATTAGGGAAAGAAAGGCCTTCCATAGTTAAGCATCTATGATCCCAAGGATGAGTAGGAATTCACTAGCTGAATAATCACCTGTGTAAAGGCCCTATGGCCAGAATGGAGGGACAGAAAGCACAAGGGCTGACTTAAATTTATCATGAAAAGATAGGTAACATTAGACTACACAGGGCCTAATAGGTAACAGTAGACTACATAGGGCCTAATACGTATGCTGAAGCGATGATACTTACTTTTATCTTAAGAGTAAGATTTTGAGTAAGTGGATGTCAGAAAAAGATATTGACATTTATGTTTAGAAATGATCACTGCACAAGGCATGTAATTCCAGCCCTGGGAAGGTGGAAGCAGGAGGATCATGAGTTTGAGGCCAGCCTGGGATTCAAAGGAAGTTCCAGGCCAATCTGAGCTACATAGTGAGACCCTGTCTTAAAAACTAAGGGCTGGAGTTGTAGCTCAGTTGAGGAGTGTTTACCTAGCATGCCCAAGGTTCCATCCCTAGTGTGCACAAATAAATAAACTGCACACCTTTAATACCAGGAGGCTGAGGCAGGAGGATCATGAGTTGGAGGATCGCCTGGGCTAGTGAGACCCTGTTTAAAAAAAAAACTAAAAAAAAAAAGAGCAAAGCAAAAACAAACATTTCAAGGTAGAAAAAACAAGGGTGAGAACAAGAGTGATTCCAGCAGACAAATTCAGAGGCTGTTTCAGCATTCTAGGTGATTTGTACTGGGCTGATACTGGTGGGTATAGGGAAAAAGATATGGATATAATGTGGTTAGCTGGTAAGCCCATAGGACTTAACTATTGTTTGGATGTGGGGAGGAGAGCGAGCTAGTCGGTAACTCCTAGACTTCAGAATTGGATTGTTTAGATGAATGCTTGTTAATTAAAAAGTAGAATATACAGAACAGTATATAAAGAGTAAAGTAATTGCCTATCACCCAGAGATAGATACATATTGAAATATTTTTTAAATTGCCAACTTGGGGCTGAGGTAGTGTGCATGCTCACATGCCTGAGGCCCAGAGTTCAATAACCAGCATCTAAAAAGAAAAAAAAGTTACTAACTGCCTGGAGACTAAGTAAAGTACTACCTTGGTTTTTCTTCCAATTTTTCTTTCTTTCTTTTTTTTTTTTTTTTGGCAGTACTGGAGTTTGAACTCAGGGTCTCACACTTGCTAGGCAGGTGCACTACCACTTGAGCCACTGTACCAGCCCTGTTTTGTTTTGTTTTGGGTATTTTTAAGATAAGGCCTTGCAAACTATCTCCTGGGGCTGGCTATTTTGTGTGTGTGTGTGTGTGTGTGTGTGTGTGTGTGGTACTGGGGTTTGAACTAAGGGCCTATACCTTGAGCCACTCCACCAGTTCTTTTCTGTAAAAGAATTTTTTTTTCTAGATAAGGTCTAAGGAACTATTTGCCCAGGCTGACTTTGAATCACCATCCTCTTGATCTCTTCCTTCTGAGTAGCTAGGATTACAGGTGTGAGAAACCTGTGCATGACCAGCTTTGATTTCTTGACAGAAACATGTAGGGGATTTTTTTTTTTTTTTTTTTTTTTTTTGTAATCTAGAAGAAGACAAAATTATGTTTGTGTTCAGCTATGTAGGAATGACAAGACTGAAATTTATAACACATTTGAGACAGTGACTTTATGTTGTACTGCCAAATATTAATAATCCTTGCAAGGCCACTGTAAAAACTAACCTGTAATCATAATAATCTTGGCTATTGTATACTACTTTCTGTCACTTTGATGCTCTTAACATTTTGGGGAGCAGTGCTGGATATTGAACCTAGGGCCTTGCATACACTAGGAAAGTAATCTACCACCAGTCTATACTTCTAGCTCACTTTGATGTTCTTTATCAGATTTCTCCCTTAGATGAGATTGGGTGCATGTAGGGTGGTATGACTATAGACCTTCCTCCTTAATTAAAAATAAAAAGGTTCGGGTTGATGGAGTGGCTCAAGTGGTAGAGCACCTGCCTAACAAGCATGAGACCCCGAGTTCAAACCCCAGTACCACCAAAAAATAAAATAAAATAAAAATAAAAATTTTCATCCTATGTTGTACATTTTTATGAGTAAAGTATACATAAGATTTATTAGGTGTTTGTTTGTTTGTTTGTTTGCAGCACTGGAGTTTGAACTCAGGGCCTACACCTTGAGCCATTCCACCGGTTTTATTTTTTGTGATGGGTTTTTTTGAGATAGGGTCTGTGAACTGTTCGCCTGGGCTGGCTTTGAACCTTGATCCTCCTGATCTCTGCCTCCTAAGTAGCTAGGATTACAGGCTGAGTCATTGGTGCTTGGCTATTGCTTACTGTTTTAACTGATGTAGTTCAAGTTTTATTTTTCTCATTTTCTGCTGTGAGGTCTGAAAATTCATTGGCCTCCAAAATAATCATATCCTTTTTCACATTAGCAGTCTTAGACATTTGCTGAAGAGTGATTTCCTGCTGCACCTTGGTGACCATATCTTTGTAGACAGATCTATGTTGGCCGTTTGCCTCCATGATGTTGATAGCATGATTTCTGCTTTTGTGTGTGTGTGTGTGTGGTCCTGGGGTTTAAACTCTGTGTTTCATGCTTGCTAGGCAGGCACTCTACCACTTGAACCATTCTGCCTGCTGACTTCTGCTTCTTGAGTAGTAAAGCCATTTTCTTTGAGTAAGTACACTAAAGTATGGGTGTCAGAGTAGAGCTTTCTATTCCCAGATATATTCCCAGAAGAGATGAAATCTTTCCTTTTGTGCTCCAGTTGCAGATACCCAGCAGTCAGGATGGAGAAAGTGAGGGCAGCTGCAGGGCTATGGGCCAGGTGAAGGGTGCCAGCGGAACCCATGAGGCCGGTGGGTACCTCCAAACTGCACCATGCCCTTCTGGGGAACGGGGAGTGGAAATACCCCTGGCATTAGTGCTCCCTGTTGTCCAGCAGCAAGCACCACAAATCTACTTTTATTAATTTACTTTTTTTTGGTGTGTGTGTGGTACTAGGGTTTGAACTTGGGGCATCAGTGCCTCTTAGTTGCTAAGCAAGTACTCACCACTTGAGCCACACCTCCAGCTCTTTTTTGCTTTAGTTTTTTTCCCTCCCCCCTTGACTAGGGTCTTGTGTTTTTATCTGAGACTAGCCTTGGACTACAGTCCTATGTCTACCACATAGTTGCTTGGATCATATAGGTGGCCAACACCATGCTCAACTTATTAATTGAGATGGCGGGGTGCGGGGGGGAGCAGTTGTTTCACTGAATTTTTGCCCAGGCTGGCCTTAAACTGGGATTTTCTCCATCTTCGCCTCCTAAATAGCTGGGATTATAGGCATGGGCCACTGTGCTCACCTAGCTATCTATTTACTTTTCATTAGTTTAAGTCTTGGAAGGACACCAGCATCGCACAGATTTCTCTGCCCAGTGACCTTAGCTGAAAGGTTGCTTTGGGATTTGGTGCAAATCATGCCACTGTTTCCACATGCATAAATTACCTTTCCCTAGATTGTTCTGGTTTTGTTCAGTTTGCCTCCAGGAGTCCCTGGAGTTATTTGCTTTGTAGATGTAAGTATATCTTTTGCCTAGTAAAATTTAGTTTCATTTTCAGCATAAACACCTTCAGTTTTAACAAGAGCCATGTGCTCCCTTTGGTTCCAGAGACCCACTTAAAGCCAACAAAAATGGCTTGGTACCACACCCTTCCAGACATATTTACCTTTTAGAACTCCTGTTCCTAGCAAGCCTCCACTCAGTGGTAAGAGTCCATGTTTCACGTGTGTGTGTGTGTGTGTGTGTGTGTGTGTGTGTGTGTGTGTGTGTATAGTATAGTATAGTATTGAGATATGTAGCTCAGGCTGGCCTAGAACTTGAGCTCTTCCTGCTTTTGCCTCTCATGCGCTGGAATTTCAGGTTTGCACCAGTTTCCCTGGCTGCAAATACTTTTCTGAGTTTTAATTTTTGTTTTTGTTTGTAATTCTAATGAATGTGAAGTGGTATCTCACTGTGATTTTGATTTGCATTTCCCTAATGACTAATGGTGTCAAGCAAGTTTTCATGTGCTTACTTGTTTACATTTTCAAAATATAATTTCTGATTTCTTGTTTGATTGGAAAAGATGTGTTGGGTATGACTATTGAGTTTGTATACTTTTCCCCGTCAATGGTGTTTTAACTAAATATGCTAATTTTTTTCCTCTTATTTTTATTTTATTTTTTTTAAGATGGCTCTGAGTAAGTCAATGCATGCAAGAAATAGATACAAGGACAAACCTCCTGACTTTGCATATCTGGCATCCAAGTATCCAGATTTTAAGCAGCATGTTCAGATAAATCTGAATGGAAGAGTAAGGTAGGTACACATGGACGTTATTAATACTGTATTTATTATTCTAGCATGATCTGAATGTACATAATTTAATAGGAAGCAGGCTGGACTGATAGAATACCGGAATGCTAACAGTAGACATTTCATTAAACATTTTATGTGACCTGGGAAAAATTATGAGTCTCAGTTTTTCTTTTTGTTTGTTTGTTTTGGGTTTTTGTTGGCAACACAAAGATTTGAACTCAGGGCCTCACACTTGCTAGGCAGGCACACTACCACTTGAGCCACTCCACCAGTGACGGGCTTTTTTTTTTTGAGATAGGGCCTTTGAACTATTTGCCTAGGTCTAGCTTTGAACCTTGATCCTCCTGATCTTTGCCTCCTGAGTAGCTAGAATTATAGGCATGAGCCACTGGTTCCTCGGTTTTTTTAAAGCTACCAAATGAAAGGATTGGAACACATGCTTTTAAGCTTCCTTTTGGTTTTTAAAAAAATTTACTTAGCTCAGTGCTGGTGGTGCACACCTGTAACCTTAGTTACTTGTGAGACTGAGATAGGAAGGATTGAGGTTCAAGGGCAGCCTGTACAAATAATTGGTAAGACTGCATCTTCAATGTAATCAGAGCAAAATAAGCTAAAGGTGTAGCTTAAGTGGTAGAGCATCTGCTTTGCAAGTGTGAAGCCCTGAATTAAAATGCCAGTCCCTTAAAAAAAAACAAAAAACTGATATCTAAGTTACTGTGTATGCTCTGGAGATCCCAGAGTAACTGCAGAGACTAGGATTGTGCTGTTTTCTAAAACTTGATTGTTTTAAGAAGTGGATGAGCGAGGGGGTGTGGTGGTATATCTCTGTAGTCCCAGCTACTTGAGGGGCAGATGTAGGAGAATCCCAATCTAAAACTGGCCTGCGTGAAAGCTCAAGACCCAATCTGAAAAACATATTAAAAGCAAAAGGCCTAGAGATGTGGTTCAACTGGTAGAGCACCTTGTTAACAAGCATAAGGCCCTGAGTTTAATTCCATTATTGCCCCCCACCCCCAAAAAAAATGTGAGGTGCAGTAGCTCACAACTGTAATCCCAACTACTTGGGAGGCAGAGATTGGGAGGATTGCAGTTTGAAGTCAGCCCTAGAAAAAAGTTCACAAGATCCCATCTCAAGAAACAAGTGTGTTTCACATCATGCCCTGTGTGATGGGGCATGTCTGTAATTTTAGCTATGCAGGAAGCAGAGGTAGGATTGTGGCCTAATGTTGGCTGGGGTAAAAGGTGTGAGACCATAATAACTAAAGGAAAAGGGACTGGCAGTGTGGCTTAAGTGGTAGAGTCTTACCTAGTATAAGGCCCTGAGTTCAAACCTAAGGACCCCCTCCAAAAAAAAAATTAAAAGTTTATGTTTATTTTGATGTGAGGTAAGAAAATAATAACTATGATATCTAAACTGATTTTATTTAGGATACTGCTAAATTTAAATTTAAACTTAATTTTTTTTTTTTTTTTTTGGTGGTACTGGAGTTTGAACTCAGGGCCTCATGCTTGCTGGGCAGGTGCTCTTACCACTTGAGCCACTCTTTCAGCCCTTTTTTGTGATAGATTTTTCTCAAGATAGGAGCTCAGGAACTATTTACCAGGGCTGGCTTTGAACCTTGATCCTCCTGACCTCTGCCTTCTGAGTAGCTAGGATTATAGGCGTGAGCCGCTGGCGTCCACTTAATTTTTGAAAATTAAGAAAAATAGAACAAGGGTACAGCTCAATGGTGGTGTGCGTTCATGCTTAGCGTTGGTGAAGCCCTGGGTTTATTCCCTAGCAAAGGATTAATGCTTTAAGAAAGGGCAAAAATTATGGTATTGTATGAGAATGAAAAGGAGCCATCTCTGAATGCATTCTTAAGCTCTGTGGGAGTTACCAGAGGATTTTAAAATTCCAAGCCTTCCTGGAGAGAAATGTGGTGGTTCATCTTTGGGGAGGAAGAGGATCAGGGGTTGAGGAGAAAAGGGAAGTTAAAGAATGATAGGATCACAGAGCTTGAGGTATTTTCTTGACCTCCCTACTCCTAGTACTATCCTTATGCCTTTAGAAATGGAGGCCCTAGGATAGGACTTAAACTGGGAGCCAAGATATTCTTAAAATTATGCTTATTCTTAAAATATGTTTATATTCATTTTTCTGGGAGATAATCCTTAGCTTTCATCAGATTCTCAAAGTGATCTATGATCCCTAGCCCTCCGAAATATATATATAAAGGTTAGGATGAAATGCCCTAGAACTATTGTGTCCAAGCTTTCATCATTGTCTTCTACAGTCAATTAAAAAAAAAAAAAATTGAGCACAGCTCAACTGTGAATTATGTACTACTATGTACTGTGTTACATATTAAGCACTTTTGAAAGGATTCTTCATAATAGAAACTAAAAAATAAATTTAAATGGGAATTCTAGGTTTTCTCTGTATACCCTAAATAATCAGTTTTGGCACCTTACTTTGGAGATCACTCTCAAGAGATTGAGCTGGTATTTTTCTTTGTTTATAACATCCCTACCATTGTTCTTAAATCTTTGTTTCATAGTCATGTGTATTACTCATCTTTCCACTACAGTAACAAAATGTGAGATAAATTAATTTATAAACAGAAAAGATTTGCCAGGTGCAGGTGGCTCAGGCCTGTAATCCTAGCTACTTAGGAGGGAAAGATCAGGAGGATTGCAGTTTGAAGCCAGCCCTGGGAAATAGTTCACAAGACCCTATCTCCAAAGAACCCATTACAAAAAGGCTGGTTGAGTGGCTCAAGTGGTAAGAGCGTTGGCCCTGAGTTCAAACCCCAGTGCCACCAAGGGGGAAAAAAAATAAAGGAAAGGTTTATTTTGGCTGATAATTTTAGAGCTTTTGTCTGTGATCAGTTGCACTGTTGCTTTTAAGCCTGTGCCATAGTCCATCATAGTTGGGAGCATGTGGTGGAACAGAGTTGCTTACCTCATGGCTACTAGGAAGTGAAAGAAAAAGAGGAAGGGATGGGGTCCCATAATCCCTTCAAAGGCACACATGGCCTTTGGGAGGACATTCTAGATCCAAACTAGCATCATGTATATGAGTGTTTATTTTTCCTAGTAGCTTTGGGGAAGATAAAATTTTGGTGATTTTTTTCTCTGTATACCTGCTGTTGTATCTAATCAATTATCTAACCAAAATCAGTTGATTAGCTACATTGTGCTCAGTTCTAAAGAAAGCCCAATAAACTAGAAAGACATGGTCATTGACATATTTGTAGTTTTTAACCTACAAACAAGAATGTGCATTGTTTTCAAGTAACTTTTTTTTCTTTTTGGAGGTACTGGGGTTTGAAGTCAGGGATTCACACTTGCTAGGCAGGTGCTCTACCATTTGTACCACGCCTCCAGCCCCCAAATAACTTTAATAGGATTTTAATACTAAGAAATGACTGACCTGAAACTTTTGACTTTTTCTGGCTTGAGTCTATTGCTTCCCTCATTATAAAGCAGGTATAAAAGGAAAAAAGTTACAATTTTTTTATACATGACTTTATTATCTACCTAAAAAAATTGAGAATCTTCTAAAAATAAATAACAAGGTAGCTGGATAAAATACATATAAACATGTAAAATATAAATAAAAATATAAGAAAGTTGATAATTTTCCAAATACTAGTTGGAAATATTGTTGCAATAAGAGATCCTATCTAGGGGTTAGATGTAGCTCAGTGGTAAAGTCATGGGTACTGTTCCCAGCACCAAAACCAAACCAACAAAAACAAATCAAAAGAGCCTATCTAAGGGCGGGGGATGTGGTTCAAATGGTAGAGCACCTGCCTAGCAAGCACAAGGCTCTGAGTTCAAACCTCAATACTACACATACACACAAAAAAAAAAGAAAAAAAAAGATAGGTATAATAGTAAGGACTAATAGAAAGTTGGAAAGAAATATGTATGTCTCTGTGGGTAAAACAACTGAATTACAGTCGGGGGCTTAGGAGGAGACATGAAGAAATAGAGGAATACTGTATTTCCTGAATGAGGAGACTTAAGATAGTTAAAAGTGTCTATGAAAGCTGGGTGTGGTAGTACACTTCTGTAGTCTCAGCTACTCAGAAGGCTGGGGCAGGATTAGGAGTCTGAGGTCAGCCTGGTTAACACAATGTGACTTGGTCTCAAAACAGAAGTAAAAGCAAAACAAAAGGTGTCATGCTTCTAAAGTTCAAAGAAAAAAAGCAATTTGTTTTTTCTTTTGGTGGTACTGAGATTTGAACTCAGGGTTGGACACAGTTTTTATATTCACTTATCTGTCGATAGACACCTATGTTGCGTCCACATCTTGGCTATTTGTGAATACTGCTGCAGTGAACATAGGAATGCTAATACCCTCCATTTTCCTCCCCATGTACACACACACTTGCTGACTTGCTAAAACTTGATTTCAGTGCCTTTGTATAAAGGCCCAGAAGTGAGATTGATAGATCTTATGGGAGTGCTACTTTTATTTATTTTTTTTGACGGTACTGGGGTTTGAACTTTGCCTGGCACTTGTTAGGCATGTACTCTATCGCTTGAGCCCCCAATCCCTAATTTTAGTTTTGAGAAAGCTCCGTAATGTTTTCCGTGGTGACATCTTTTTGTTTGTTTGTTTGTTTTTGTTTTTTTGGGACAGACTCTCACTGTGTACCCAAGCTGACCTTTAAACCCATGATCCACCTGTCTTCACCTCTAAATGCTGTTATTACAAGTATTTGCCAGGTATGTCCACTGTGCCCAGCAGTGGCACCAATTTTACATGCATACTGACTTGTAGCATGTCAGGATTTTGCTACCTCCTCACCAATATTTGTCTTTTGTTTTGCTTTTAATAGCCGTACTAACCAGGTGCAAGGTAATAGCTTATTGTAGTTTCAAATTACATTTGCCTGATGATTTTCTACTCTGAGTACTTTTGTATACTTATGTATACTTTTTTTGTATACATATTGGCCATTTGTATGTCTTAGTCCCCCCGCCCCCCCCTTTTTTTCTTTTTTTTTTTTTTTTTTGAAATAGCATCTCATATCGAAGGCTGGCCTTTTGTCTCAGCCTTTGGAGTGCTGGGACTGTAGATGTGCAACTACATCTGGCTCCCGTAGCCCATTTTTAATTACTTATTATTTTTTTGTTTTGTTGGTGGTACTGGGTTTGAAGTCAGGGCCTTACCACTTGAGTGACACCCCCAGACAAGTTATTAGTTATTTTCTTTTTGAGTTATAGTTCCTTACATATTTTGGGAATTAATCCCTTCTGAAATACATGGTGTGCAAAACATTCCATAGCTTGCCTTTTACTCTGTTGATTGTTTCCTTTTTTTTTGGTAGTATGGGGTTTGAACTCAGGACCTCACACTCACCAGGCAGGTGTTCTACCACTTGAGCCACTTTGTCAGCCCTGTTTTATGTTGGGTTTCTTTCAAGATCGGGTCTTACAAGCTGTTTCTCCAGGCTGGCTTTGAACTGCAATCCTCTTGTTCTCTGTCTCCTGAGTAACTAGGATTATAGGTGTGAGCCACTGGTACCTGGCTGTTAATTTTCTTGGTGAGTGTTGCATAACTTTGGTGTAAGGAAGCTTTTTTTCACTGTACTTCAAGGGTAAAATTCATAAAAGAAGAAATCAGTGGATTCAACTACATAAAATAGTTTTATGTATAAACATGTAAAAGTAGAAAATATAAAACAATATAATACTTTATAGCATATGGCAAAGAATTAACTTCCTTAAGATAAACTTCTCCATTTTTTCTTTCTTTTTTTTTGTTGGAGGTATTGGGGTTTGAAGTCAGGGCCTCATGCTTAGCTAGGCAGGCACTCTTACCACTTGAGCCAAGATAAAGAACTCCTAAACGGGGTGTGGAGGGCATGTTTGTAATCCTAGCACTTAGGGAGGCAGAGCAGGAGGATCTCAAGATTGAGACCAGCTTGGGTTATGTAGCAAGTTCTAGGCCTTCCTGTCTCAAAAGACAAAAATCAGGGCCAGGGGCATGACTTAGTGGCAGAGCATTTGGCTGACATGTGTGAGGCCCTGGATTCAATCATCAGTACCTCAAACAAGCAAAACACCATGTAATCCCAGCTACTAGAGAGGTGAAGATAAGAGGATTGTGGTTTGAGGCAAGCCCAGGTAAAAGTTAGTGAGACCCTATCTCGTAAACAGCCCTCGTTGTTTGCTTATACTAAAATCGGATTGATACAGAGAAGATTATCATGGCTTCTGCTCAAGGATGACATGCAAATTTGTGAAGTGTTCCATATTTAAAAACAAAAAACATAAAAACAACCCTGGGCATAATCTCAGCTACTGGGGAGGGGGAGGTAGGAGGATCTGTGTCCCAGGCCAGCTGGGAAAAGCAGCAGACCCTATTTGAAAAATAAACTAAAAAGCAAAAGAACTGGGAGGTGTGGCACAAGTGGTAAAGCTCCTGCCTAGTGAGCATAAGGTCCTGAGTTTAAACTCCTATACTGCCAAAGACAAAAACAAAAGTTGAAGCTGGGCACTAATGACTCATGTCTATAATCTTAAACCACTTGGGGGGCTGAGTTTGGAAAGATCACAATTCAAGGCCAGTCTCTTAAATAGTTTGAGAGACTATCTCAAAAATAACCAGAATAAAATGGACTGGATGTGTGGATCAGGCAGTTGAGAGCCTGTTTTGCAAAGGCATAGCCAACACACACAAAATGGAAGCAAGAAAGTCCTACAAAGCAAAAACACTTGAATAATATTTTTTTTCTGTAGGGATGAGATAATGCATGTTGAGAATGTTTCTAACAAGGAAAATTGAAAATAAGTAAATGTTTAGAATGTAGGTTAGTATAATACAATTCCATACAGGGAAATACGTAGACTATAAAATGGATGTTGCAGATTATAAAACATGGTAATTGTGTTTCAATCCAAAACCAAAATATCTGTGTTGATATTCTGTGCATTTGGGTACAACATAGTGGTAGGCATGCATGCCTTTGGTTCAATCCTTAGCACTACCCAAAAAAAAAAAAAAAAAAGATTATGAGCTTTGAGGTTTAAGGTGGGCGAGGCTGAGGCAGGAGGGACTTTGAGGCCAGTTTGTGCTACATAATGAAAGCCTGCCTCAAAAAAAAGTGTGTGTTTGTTTTTTTTAATCAGGCAAAACAAATTTTAGGACTTTATGCAGGGGAAAACAAATATGCCAGTAAAGGGACAGGATAAGATAGTCATGAGCAACTACCCTACCCTTTTTTCTTTCTTTGTGGGACTACGGTTTGAATTTGGGGCTTTGTAAAGCTTGTAAAGCAGTCGTTCTACTTTTTGAGCCACACCTCCAGTCCATTTTGCTCTGGTTATTTTTGAAATGGGGGTGTCTCATTAACTATTTGCCTAGGCTGGTCTTGAACCTTGATCCTTCCAACCTCAGCCTTCTAAGTAGCTAGGATTATAGGAATGAGCCACCTGCGACCCCCCTCTTTTTTTTTCTTTAAAGATGAGAGCACTTTGAACATATTTATAGTTGGCAATATGGCTTGTTTATTTATTTTTATAGTAACAATAACATAAAATGTATTTAATGCTTAAGGTATGTGACTATTAGACTCCAATATTCATATTTAGTAGATACAGGAGATAGGATATATGCTCTTTAGTGTACATACCTAACTGTTCCCAGACATCATCCTTCCTGCTTGTTAATGTCATTTTATTTAATTCTGAGAGATGTGTGAAAGAAGAATCAGATCAGGCTCCGTGGCTCATGCCTGATATCGTAGTTACTTGGAAGGCAGAGATCAGAAGGCTAGCCTGGGCAAAAAGTTCACAGGAAACCATCTCAAATAATGGCTGTGCATAGTGGCACATGCTGGTCATCCCGACTACTGTAGGAAGCACAAATAGGCCCCTTGTGGTTCAGGCAGCCTTGGCATAAAGCTGGACCCTTTCTCAAAAATAACCAGTGTAAAAAATGCCAGTGGGCTGGTGGCTCATGCCTGTAGTCCTGCCTACTCAGGAGGCAGAGATCAGGAGGATCTTCCTGGGCTAGCGTAGGCAAATAATTCACAGGACCCCATCTCAAAAATAGTCAACACACAAAAAGGGCTGGGGGAGTGACTCAGGTGGTACGGTACCTGCCAAGCAAACATGAAGCCTTGAGCTCAAACCTGGTACCATTAAAAAAAAAAAAAAGTGCACTCCCAGCTGTGTGTGAAGTGGAGGTAGGAAGATCATAGTCCACGGTTGGCCAGGGCAATAGCACAAGACCCTGTCTGAAAAATAACTAAACCATAAAGGTCTCAGGGCATGGCCCAAAGTAGTAAAGTATACTAGATAAGTACAGCCCCAGAGTTCATCCCCCAGTACCGCACACTACCCCCCCGACACACACATACACACACACACAAAAAAAAAAATGAAGAATCACCAGAATATAAACTCAACTAGTGATGGGAAAGGAATACTAGACAGCACATTAGACCTGAGATTGGTTAGAGTGTCATTCATTTGCTTAGCTCTTAAGTGATCTCTTAAGAGAAACGGGGTGTTGTGGAAAAAAGGTGGGACTTCTAAGTCAGTCATCCTAAGAACCAGTCTTGGAGTATCACTTACCAACTGTGAGCTTTTAGATGCTTTTCTTAGTTTCTCTGAGACTGAGTCTCCTCAACTAACAAAGAGGGGTAAAAGGATTAGTTTGCCTAGTTGTTGTAAAAACTAGCAATGATGCATGTATAGTGATTAGCATATTGTAGACAAGCCTGGACTGACCAAAGTGATCAGTATTACTGATGTGATAGCCCTCTTTCTTCTGTTTTTCTTCCCTGCACGCATCACTACATTGCTCTTGTCATATCAGATTCAGCACCTTGGGACATTCACAGTCATGAACATAGGCAAGATCTTTTTAGTTCTCATTTCTGAGATCACGGGGAGGCTAAGAACATTATAATTAGTTTTTAGTTTGTGATTTTTCAAAATAACTAACGACAGCACTACAAGGACACACTAAAGTTTACTTGAGCTCGGTTAGTTGAGTTCGAATACAGTGTAACACTTAACTGATTTGTTTTGTTTTTACTTTTTTTAAGAAATTTGTTTTTTTTTTTTTTTTTTTTTTTTTTTAGTGGTACAGGGCCTTGAGCTACCACTTGAGCCACACCTCCAGTCCTTTTTGCTTTAGGTTATTTTTTAAGATAGGGTCTCATTCTTTGTTCAGGGTGGTCTTGGACTGCCATCCTCTTACCTTTGTCACCCTCTTTCATAACTGGGCTGATAGGTTCATATCACCATGCCTAGCTCATTTTGTTGAGATGGGGGGGGGGTCTCACTTTTTGCATGGGTTGACCTTGAACTGGATTCCCCCAGTACCCTTCTGAGTAGCTGAGATTATAAAGGCATGAGCCACCTTGTCCAAACTAGTTTTTTCGGCACTGGAATTTGAACTCAGGTCCTCACACTTGCTATACACATGCTCTTACAGCTTGAGCCATTCCACCAGCTCCTGATCTGTTTTGAAAGGACTTGGTCTTGCTAGGTGATTGTACCATTTTTAGTACCTCGGTGATGATCGAGTGACTAGAGACCAACTTTGGAATAAGGCTGATAGGCTTTGGCCCTTGTTACCACGTCAGGTTCAACTTTTATGGTATTAGAATGATTGTTGTTTTAGCCATGGATTACAGAGATGTATCCTTCCAAAATCCATCTACAATGGTAAACTGTATTTATCTGCATTAGAGAGGAGAGTCATTCTG